TCCACTCTCCCTGCACCATGGGACCTGCCTCAGGTCCCAGGCTGCTGTTGCTGCTGCTGGCCAGCCTCCCCCTGGCCCTGGGGGACCCCATGTGAGTAGCCAGGCCCAGGTAGGAGCAAGCATTTGGGCTTCAGGTCCTTGTAGAATCCAGATGCACATGGGTGTCTGTGGATTTCAAGTTGGTGGTAGGACATGAGAATTTGGGCTGCCTGGCTGGGGTGTTTGTGGGCTGGGTTCCCGTGGAATCCAGGCACAGGGGAATTGGAGTTTGCACATTTTTGGAACTGAGTGTCTGGAGGTTTAGGATGGAGGGTCTGTGTGTTTAGCGATCGTAAGTTGGAGTAAACTGGAGGCTAACAAGTCCAAACAGTTCAGAAATCATGAGTTTCAGCATTTAGAGGCTCAGTGATTTGGTCCTTTGGGTTTATGCAGGGTTGGGAGTGTGTGGATCTGGTTGTATTAATAAGACCGTGGTGTCAGAGGCTTAAGTTTGGGTTTGGAGTATTCTAGGACTTGAGGTTTAGAGGTTGAGGGTATATGGGTTTAGGCAATTGTGGTTTGGAAGCCTAGAGACCTAAGAGGGTTGCTGGGTTTGTTTCTGAGGATCAGGGGTTGGTGGGAAACTGCAGCCCTAGATGTTCAAGCTTTCAAATCCAGGTACACCTGGCTGAGGGGGTGGGAAGTCATGGTGACTGCCGTCCTGCCCATGGGAATAGGGAGGTGACGGTGCCAGAGAGGAAGGCATAGCCAGGACCTGAGGCTGGCAGGTGTCCCAGGCTGTCACTGGATCCCCTTCAGGGTCTGAGGCAAAGTGCTAGGGAAGAGAGGAGCATCCAGGCACTGACCAGGCTAGGGCTGGAGTCTCCTGTCCCTGGGAATACAGCTCTGTGCGCCACTGGACAGGTACTCCATGATCACCCCCAACATCCTGCGGCTGGAGAATGAGGAAAACATAGTTCTGGAGGCCCACGAAGTTGAAGGGGACGTTCCTGTCACAGTCACGGTCCACGACTTTCCAGCCAAGAAGCAAGTGCTGTCCAGTGAGAAGACGGTACTGAGTGGTGCCACTGGACACCTGGGCAACGTCACCATCAAGGTGGGCGCAGACTGGAAGCAGCCCAGCCGACCTCCACAGTCCCTCCCACTCTTTGTGGTCTGTCCCTCTGAACCATGTCCTTGGGCGTCTTCCTTCTCAGGCCCTGTCTCTTCTGAGTTTCCCCTCTTCTGAGTGCCGCCCCTCCTCTGGGTGTACTCCCCCTCTAAACTCCACCATGTGAGTCTGCTGCTCCCCTACTGAGCCCCTCCCTCTCTATCCCCTCCACTTGAGAGCCCCTACCCCCTTGAGTCTACTCCCCTTCCAGCCTCCACTATCTGAGTCTCCTCCCCTCTGAGCCCCTCCCCTCTCTCAGTCTCCTCCCCTCTGAGCCCCTCCC